ATTTGTATCTTGGAAAAATTTTTCAGAAGTCAAATATCTGAATTGTTTATCTCACATGTTATTCCCTGGACCTGGGGATGATACACATCCAGGGGAGGAGCAAGCCGGATGGTGGTAGATTTTGCTCCATTCAGAATGTTTCTCAGGGAGTGAAGCAGGAAATCAGTAGCTTAGCACTACATCCCAAGGCCCATGTCAACAGTAGCTTAGCACTACATCCCAAGGCCCACTATGTCCCAATTCCTCACTTCATCTCCTCACACAGGCACTGCATCATCTCACATCATTACAAGAGTGAGCACAGTACAATTAGCTACTTTGAGGGAAAGAGATCCCATTCACATAACTTTTATTATGGTAGATTAGAAAGGTTATAAAGCACTAATTACTGTTAATCTGCTAGTGTACCTAATTTATAAATTAAAGAAAAAATACAGTGCATATATATTTTAATACTATCCCTGATTTCAGGCACCCACTGAGGGCCTTGGAATGCATTTTCCATAGATAAATGAGGACTAATGAAAGAAATGAAAGAGCTCAATCTGAAAGGGCTACAGCTATATGATTGCAGCTATGTAACAGTCTGCAAAAGGCAAAACTATGGAGATGGGAAAATGATTAGTGATGGACAGGGTTGCAGGGAGAGAGGGGATGAATAAACAGAGCACAGAACATTTTTAGGGTAGCAAGACTATTTTTAAAGACACTAATGTAGTAGGTATATGTTGTTATACATTTGTCAAAGCCCGTAGAATGTCAATGCCAAGAGTAAACTCTATGTAAACCAGTGTAAACCATGGACTTTGGGTAACAAGGATGCACTAATGTAGGTGCATTGATTGCAACTTAGGAACCACTCCGGTGTAAGTATTGATACTGGAGGCTTTTCATTTGTGATGCAGGGTGTGAATGGGAACTCTCTATCCTTGCCACTCAACTTTACTGTGAACCTAAAACTGCTTGAGAGACAGTCTTAGGATTAAAAAAAGATGTGATCATGATGAAGATAGATGATAGATAGATAGATAGATAAGTGAAGGTGGATGGATGGATGGATGGATATACTTAGGAGGCCAAACCAAAGGTAAGATTTTGAGCTCTTGCTTTTTTAAAAAAATAAAAATGTGTAGACCGGATTTACATTGCATAGAAAAAGAAGGAACACTTCTTATAAATCTACTCACATGATAATTCTCTGTACCTTTTCCACAACTTTTTGTACATCTAAAATTAGTTCAGGGGTGGGTGTTGTGACATAGAGGGAAAAACCACCACCTGTGATGCCAGCATCCATATGGGCACCGGTTCATGTCCTGGCTGCCCCACTTCTGATCCAGCTCTCTGCTACGGCCTGGAAAAGCAGTAGAAGATGGCCCAAGACCTTGGGCCCTTGCACCTTCGTGGGAGAACCAGAAGAAGCTCCTGTCTTCTAGTTTCAGATCTGCCCAGCTCTAGCCATTGCAGCCATCTGGGGAATGAACCAGTGGGTGGAAGACCTCTCTCTCTCTGCTTCTGCCTCTTTGTAACTCTACCTTTCACGTAAATAAATAAATCTTTTGAAAATAAGCAAATAGCTGGGCCACAAATCCAGTCACTGTGTCTGCCAAAGACTCCACTCTGTCCACCAGCTTGTGTCTTCACAGCAGCATTATAGACAAAATGCTAAGATGGGAGCCCAGGAAAGCAAGACCACAATTTCTGTTTTCACATTTAACTTTCCGCTCACATAGCCGGCCAGTAGATACTAAAGGTTTAGCTATGGCTAGAATTGCATCTCTGTTGACCGAGATCATTAACGCGGCTGCTCAACTTGAATTCTAGAAAGCATAACGTCATGGGCATTTCGAAGCCATGAAAAATAAAGCTGTTCCCTAACCCATTTCAAGACGGCGTCAAGATAGGCTCAAGACCCTGGATGCTGCGGGCAGCTCACGTACGCCAAGAGGGCCAAGGCCGCCAGAAAGAGACATCCCAGTGCCCACTGTACTTCAACAAGCTGCATGCCAGCTTCATGAAGCCTCGCTGTTTGCCCTGGGGGCAGCACTGCTCCTGGCTGTTAGCACCTGCACCGCCTACGTGGCGGGCTACGTTCACTACTGGGTTTCCCTGTGCGGGGTGGTAGCAGCCGCTCGTCCTGTGGCAACTGTGAGGTGAAGCCCGGCAGGGAATACCCACAGAGGCAGAAATGAAGGACCTCAGCGACCACACGAACCTCCCCTTCAGAGTGTGGAAGCTGAGGGCCAGAGACAGGAAACAGACTTCCCGAAGTCACTCCTCAGTTAGCCTATTGATGGGACCAGAATCCTTTAAATCACTGCTTTAGGAATCCCAGACTCACAGGGCTTGACCCAACCATCTTATTTTAAGAGATTATATAATTAATCTTAGTGCACAAAAATTATCTAAATGAAAGGTCTCTGCAAGTGAGATCCCAGTGGAAAGAACAGGCCATCAAAGAAGGAGGTACCTTTCTCTGAAGGGAGAAGAGAACTTCCACTTTGACTATGACCTTGTCTAAATATGATCGGAGTTGGCGAACTCAAAAAGCTTCCATAGCCTTGGCAGGTCATGACAAGAGCCTCAGGTGATTACTGATGTCATAAATAAGAGTGTCAATTGTTAAATCAACAACAGGAGTCACTGTGCACTTACTCCCCATGTAGGATCTCTGTCCTTAATGTGTTGTACTATGTGAATTAACGGTGAAACTTGTATTCAAACAGTACTTTATACTTTGTGTTTCTGTGTGGGTGCAGTCTGTTGAAATCTTTACTTAGTGTATACTAAATTGATCTTCTGTATATAAAGATAATTGAAAATGAATCTTAATGAAGAATGGGATGGGAGAGGGAGTAGGAGATGGGATGGTTTGTGGGTGGGAGGGTTGTTATAGGGGGAAAAACCACTATAATCCTAAAGTTGTACTTCCAAAATTTATATTTATTAAATAAAAGTCTTCTTAAAAAAAAAAAAAAAGCTTAGTGCACTATTTAAACCTATGAATGCCAGAAGCTGTGCCAGGTACCGCAGGCTTAGAGGGGAGGTTAGACAAGGGCACTGCCCCCAGGGAAGGGACTTTTGAGTCCAGGAAGGAAGGCAGCTGCACAGTTACAAGACACTGAGGTCAGTGTTGTGTTTTCTCATAGAGAAGCCGCTCTGCTGTATAGAGGTGTTCAAGTCTACAGACCTGGGCGTGAGGAAGCAGGCATTGCGTCGCGTCTGGGTTCTGCCACTTAACTTTCTGTAGGGCTGTAGGGCCATGGACAGTTTCCTTAACCCCTCTGCACTTCAGTTTCCACTTCTGTAAAGGGTGGGGGAGGAATGTTCCCTAAAGATAAAACAGATTTGTTTCTTTTCAAAACTATAGAGTCCAAAGATGTGTAGGTGAAATATGACAAAATTAGTATGAAAATATTCCATCTATTTGTATCTGTTAAGCAAAAGCAGCTTCTTTCATTTCCTTTGACAGTTTTTTTTATCTATGTAGGCAGGAAAAGGGCACACATTTAATTACAGTTTCTTCATTAAAATGTGCCCAATGTGAGGTGCATATTCCACAGAAACATGAACTGTGAACCCTCCTCCTCCCCTCTCTCACACGGCACCTTTATCCTATCCCAGTATTTTTTTGCTCCTGTCACCCCTAACTTCATTCCTGGTTCTATAAAACTTTTTTCATAAACAAACACTATTCAGCAATCCAACACTTGCTGAGTGCCATGCCCTCTTTCATATTTCTTAAAATAGCCTTGGGACCATAGCACTGGGTGAAGCCACTGCCTGCAGTGCCGGCATCCCATATGGATGCCAGTTTGAGTCCTGGCTGCTCCACTTCCAATCCAGCTCTCTGCTATGGCCTGGGAAAGCATGGGAAGATGGCTCAAGTCCTTGGGCCCCTGTATTTGCTTGGGAAACCTGGAAGAAGCTACTGGCTCCTAGCTCTTGACTTCGGATTGCCGTAGCTCTGGCTGTTGCGGCCATCTGGGGAGTGAGAAAGTGGATGGAAGACCTCTCTCCATCTCTCTCTCTGCCTCTGTCTCTCTGTAACTCTTTCACATAAAATAAATCTTTAAAAAAAAAAAAAAGAAAATAGCCATGAAGCTACTTCCTGTATCTGACGGTTTGACTGATGTACAAATCTCTCTTATCTTTTACTTAGTTAATAATATAGTAGATCCAAGAAACGGATTCAACAAAAAAGAATCCCAAGATTTTTGAATATCACAAGGATAGGCATTGAGTGTTTCACGAAATCAATTCCAGTAGGAACTTCACAACAGAAGTCATTTGTCACTGAAGTCACAATGGGTTTCTTGGAAAATATTCCAGTGATTGGAGAGAGTATAGGTTCTTGTGTGGAGGAAGGTCCCCAGGGAGATTCCCAAGCTTGTCTCAGCATTTGATGTGAAAGCCAACATTGGTTAAAGTGCCTTACACAACGCTGCTGCTCAATAAATCAGTCAGGATTTTACAATGGAAAAGGACCTTTGAGATCAAAAAAGCTGATTATGATTGACAGTCTCCTCTCCTGAAAACACACTGAGAGCACACATTAGCGAAATGAATTTCATGCGTTTATTCACATTCATTGCCATGAAAGCTGCAGTTTTCAGGACATTCCAGTAATGCAAGCAACAACACCTCATTATTTCTTTGTCCATTACCTGGCTCTTGGGTTCAAGAGCCATGTCACAAGTCTGACATCACTTTCTCCAATGTTAAATGAATGTATCGAAGTAAGTTATATCACAAAAGGCAGTTGAATTTTGAATTAATACCATGAATCCCCATCTACTGCAACCCCATCTATTAAAATCCCTTTTGTTTCCCTAATAGTTGAACTGGGGCTTCCTGATAGAAGATCTTCATCTTCTAACTGAGTCATAAAGCAGGATCAGAGAATGCAGGGCGGAGCTCCTCTGGCTTGCGTGAGTCAGGTACATTTTCAAGTAAGGGGAAAATTAAGAGTTTCTCAAGACACAAGAGGGAAGCGCAAGGCTTCATTTTAAAGGCCTGAGCTCAAAGCTAAACATGCCATGTCACAAACTTCATGGCGTGTCACATTTTAACTATGATTTTGGTGACACCAAGGCAGCTAAAATTTCATCTCGTGGTTTCAAGTGTCAGGCTGGAGTGGATGCATTCTAATGAGAAACTAAATGTGCCAGCCAGGACAAGCTTCTGATGGCCCACACCCCCTGTCCTGATAACAGTCAGGTTGCCCCTAGAAGATCAATCTTGTTTGCAAGGATTTCAACAGGAAGTGACTTAAAGTGAGTACCAGTGATATTTAATTGTTTAATTATGTTCTGCTTTTCTCTGATGAGGTAGAAACACCAAAATTTTAGGCTGAGGGTGCTTGTTACTCTTGTGTTTATTTTTATTTTTATTTATTTGAAAGGCAGAGCAACAAAGAGACAGAGATCTTCCATCTGCTGATTCACTCCCCAAATGTCTGCAACAGCTGGAGTAGGGCCATGTTGAAGCCAGGAGCCCAAAAATCAGTCCGGGTCCCCAACATGGGCGGAAGAGAGCCAGCTAACTGAGCCATCACTTTCTGCCTCCCAGAGTCTGCCTAGCAGAAAGCTAGGTTCAGAATTGGAGCAGGGGTCGGCGCTGTGGCTTAGCGGGTTAAGCTACATGCTGCAGTGCCAGCATCCCATATGGGCGTCAGTTCCGGTCCAACTGCTTTGCTTCCTATCCAGCTCCATTATAATGACTTTGGAAAGTGGCAGAAGACGGCCCAAGTGCTTGGGCCCCTGCACCCACTTGGAGACCTGGAAGAAGCTCCTAGTCCCTGGCTTCAGCCTGGCCCAGCCCTGGTCATTGTAGCCATTTGGGAAGTGAACCAGTGGATGGAAGATTTTCTCTCTCTTTCTCATCTCTCATTCTCTCTCTCTGTAACTCTGCCTGTCAAATAAATATATAAATCTTAAAAAAAAAAAAGAATTTAATCAGGACACTGTGATATGGGACACAGGCTTCCCATGTGGTACCTTAATTGCTGCAGCAAATGTCAACCCCTCACTGTACTTTCATTTAAAAAAAAATAGATTTATTTGCTTAAAAGGCAGAGTCACAGAGAGAGAAATAAAGAGAACCCAGGAGCCAGGAACTCTATCCAGGCCTCCTACATGGTTGGCAGGAGCCAGGAGCCCAAGTATTTGGGCCATCTCTTCTGCCTTCCCAGGTGCGTTAACAGGAAGCTGAATGGAAAGCAAGTAGCAGAGACTCAAATCAGCACTCCAATATGGCATACTGGCAACATAAGCAAAGGCTTAACCCACTGTTCCACACCACCCACCCCTCTAAGGCACTTTTTTCAACAGGGTGAAACCCAATTCACAAAGCAATTTGAATTATAATTGGATCCAACTGTATCTATTTCTAAAATGCTTTGCTATTCTCGTGGAACTCAGCGAGTCTCCCTCCTTTGCTTAAATTGTCTTTTTTGTGGGGGGAGGGGTGATGTATAATGATTTCTTGAAGGTTACTTTCTCCAATCTGGCTAAAATACTTATCTTAACACTTCTTCCTGCTTTCTAATGTATTCTCCTTGATCTTTAAAAAAATTCATTTGCAACCCTATTCCTCTTCAAAGATATTATTTTATTTTTTAAAAAAGATACAAGCATTCAACAAAAGCCTATAAATTCTCCATGCTTTCAGTTGTGATTTTTTGAATTCAGCAAAAGAAAGAAAAGAGCTTTGAACTTGAGACAATCACCTTTTTCCCCATTGTATGACCCAAGTCATTTCTGTGCCAGTTCCCAGCATGCCTCTGGAGCATCTACTTCCTCTGTTCATCCTTAGTGACAGTGAGGTTGTTGTCACCCTGTTCCCTACTGTGCTGGGCCATCTGCCATGTTCCTCCTGGCCTTGACCCAGTGTTCTCACCTCGTGGATGAGGGAAGCAGACTGCTCCTGTCTCCGCATAGAAATTTCTTTACAACTTCAGCAGCAAACAAACATGAGAAGCAACAGTAACCACAGCACATCTGTTGCAAATTGAACAAGGAGAGAAGAATCTCCCAGTTCAACTCAGAGATCACAGCACTGATTTCCTTTTTCTTTCTTAATTTTCGAAAGCATGGGGGCAGGCTGAGGGGTGCAGCAAGTTAAGCCACCACTTGCAATGCCAATGTCAATGCCAGCATCCCATATTGGAGCACCTGTTGGAGTCCCTGCTGCTCCAGTTCCAATCCAGCTCCCTGCTAATGTCCCTGGGAAAACAACAGAGAATGGCCCAATTGCTTGGACCCTTGCTACCCATGTGAAATACCAGGATAGAGTTCCAGGCTTCTTACTGGCCTGGCACAGCCCTGTTAAAAGGCCATGTGAAGAGTGAACCAGTAGGTAAAAAATCTCAATCTCTCTCACTCCCCTCTCCCCCTCTCAGGCACTCTGCTTTCCAAATAAATAAATAAATCTTCAAGACAAAAACATAAAAAAGAAAGAGTCTGGACCAATGCTACCTTCATGGCACCTTGGTTTATTACAAATGCCACAGTGCAGTTTATATCTATAGCTTAGGAGAATCAAAGTTTGCACCTAGGTGATATTTCACCATCTGAATTGCCAGATGTCAGACTGAATTCCAAGAGTGGAGTTTTGTATGATTCAGATCCTAAAGAGGGAAAGTAAGGCCAGGGAAGAGGGAGGGGAGCTCCTAGGGGGACTTTCTCCAGGCTCAGACTGCAGTCAGATGTTTTAATAGACAGATGTGGTAGATGGGAAAGAAACACATGAAAGGATGGTTGCTCAAGAGAGAGCATGGAAGGGAGAGAGGTCTCTCTTGATGCTAATGAAGACCAAGATCCTCCTGCTCCTGTGTCAGAGGTATACGGAATGCTAGTGTCCTCCTAGGGTTTCCCATCCTTGAACCAGTCTCAAAGGACCCTTCTCCCCTAGGGCTGGGGCTGGAGGGAAGCTGGGTGTGAGGTAACTTGCATTGGATCACTCTGTGTCTCCAGTGCGTCTGTGGCTGTCTACAGGGGGATGGGCAGGACCGTCAATCAGACAGCATATGTCGGAGGCAGAAATTACCAGCGAAGTGCCTCACAAGAGGAGCCTCGTGTTCCCTCTGCAGAGATGTCCCCGTTTAGGAAATGTGAACTCAAGTAACCTTGCAAGATAAAGTTCTCACATATAACAGATATCGGATCTTTTTTTTTTTCTTTTTAAAACTTCAGGGAATTTTTTTTCCCTTCTTCACATGTTCTTGCCTCTTACTAAGGAATCGGGTTTGAAATGTCATTGTCAGCATTTTCAGGCTATGATTTTCCTGTCTCATTAACAAAGGCCTCTTGTACTTTCTCTCCCTGCTTTCAGAAAGGTGAGTGCACTTGATTTATTCTTGATGTTCACATGTAGCTTGCAACCTCAGCCTCCCACTGCTGACTTTCTGAACTTGACCTTAGCATGGTCTGGAAATTGAATCTGTGAGTTAGATAAGCCAGTAATAAGTGACCTTCTGTTGTGCTGGTCCTATCAAGAGTACCTATAGGCAAGCAGGAAAATTTCACCTACACCCTTAATTTTTATTTTAAAGGCAACTCTCCTTTACCCTTCATAACTGGCATATCTGATTTATCGAATGACTTCCTTGCACTGGTTTGGAGCAAAGGCACAGGGAAAGAACAGCCAACAACTGGAAGCTTGGCCTGAAACTGAGGTTTGGGGATACGTTATGATAATAACAGTCCCCTTTTTGGACTCATAGTCAATGAAATGAAGGTTTAACTTATACAAGGGTACCCAGTGGAATTAAAAGATAAGTTTATTTTGGTGCAAAAAAATTTGAGGGGTAGGCATTGTGGTGAAGTAGGTTAAGTGTTTGGGACACCTGGATCCCATATCAGAGCTCTGCTTCAAGTCATGGCTACTCTACTTCCTGTTCAGCTCCCTGCTAATGAACCTGGTAAGCAAAGGATGGTGGCCCAAGTCCCTGGGCCCTGTCACATGACTAGGAGCTCCTGATGAAGATCTTGGCTCCTGGCTTTGCCTGGCTCAGCCCTGGCTATTGCAGGCATTTGGGGAGTGAACCAGCAGATGGAAAATTGATCACTTGGTTGATCGATCTAACTATCATTTATCTATCTACTCTCTCGCTCCCTCTCTCTATTGTAATGCTTTTTAAGTAGATGAAAATAAATTAACATTTAAAAATTGGGGGGTTGGGGCAGTGCTGTGGTATAGTAGGTTAAGCAGCCATCTGCAGTGCCAGGAGCCCATATGAGTGCCAGTTTGATCCCAGCTGCTCCACTTCTGACCCAGCTCCCTGGTAATGGCCTGGGAAGGCAGTGGAGGATGACCCAAGTCTTGTGTCCCTGCACCCACGAGGGAGACCCAGAAGCTCCAGGTTCCTTCACTTGGCCTGGCCCAACCCTGGCAGGTGTTGCCATTTAGAGAGTAAACCAGTGGATGGGACATCTCTCTTTCTCTCTGTCACTCTTTCTCTCTCTGTCTTTCCCCTCCCTTTCTGTAACTCTGCTTTTCAAATAAACAAACAAATCTTTAGAAGAAAGATTTCTTTTGAAACCCATATATCTGAGTGGTCTTCAAAAAGTTCATGAAAAAAATGCATGGATTTAACAAAAATTTACACCAAAATCAACAAATTTTAATTTCATTCTGCATGAGCTTTTTTTGAATGGCAAAGTAACACATAGGGAGGGAAACACACACACACACACACAATCTTCTGTCTGTTGTTTCACCCCTCAGATGTCTGCAACAGCCAGGGCTGTGCCAGGCCGAAACCAGGAGCCAGGAGCTTCTTCCAGATCTTCCACATGTGTTCAGGAGTGCAAGCAGATGCATTACCAAGGAGCTGGATTGGAACTGAAGCAGCCCCATATAGGATGCCTGTAGAACAGTGGAAAGGTGGCTGCTTAATGCACTGTGCCACAATGCCAGCCCCTTCATGACCCCCTCATATTAACCCATTTAATTATCACAAAACCATAATGCAGCTAGCCCATTTTACATATGGAAAACTATGGCTCACAGACTTCTGCTTATAGTGGTCAAACAGGTGATATGTGAGGCAATAAGATTCAAGTACACAACTGTTTTAATGCCAAAACTATTGCTTTTAACTTCTATTTGTTTATTTTATTTATTTGAAAGGTATAGACAGGGAGACAGACACAGAGAGATCTTCCAGCCACTGGTTCACTCCTCAAAGGCCCACAATAGCCAGGGCTGAGTCAGGCCAAAGATAGGAGACTGGAGTTCCATCTGGGTCTCCTATAAGGACAGCAGGGACCCAAGTACTAGAACCATCACTGGTTGCCTCCCAGGGTGCATATTAACAGGAAGCAGAATCAGAAACCAAGCCAAGACTCAAACTCAGGGACTCCCATATGGCATGCCGGTACCCTAAGCGGCATCTTAACGGCTGTGCACCTGCCTCTGATTCCAAAACTTTTAACTGCAGAACACATTGCTCTGCCTAAAGCAGAATACGATTAAGTAACATAATAGGGCTATAAAAGGTGGGGAGAGGGGGTGGTTCGATAGTAAAATGTGTTATTTCCTCACACAGTAACGCCTTCTTTTAAAGGAGAGAAATTAAAATACAGAGTGGCATGATTTCTCAGTTTGCTGCCTAGTCCAATAATAAGACGATTGGATTAAAGAAGTAGATAAAATAGTGTTGGGAGCTCAGTGTGTTCTTGGTGTTATACAGATATTTCAGAGCAGCTTAAAGAGCCATGATTGCTGAAGCCTTTTCTATTCGATTAAATGCTAAAGTTTTTCTCCCCTGCGAGACTTGACCTGTATAGAAAATGCAGAAGCTGAACTAAAGATGCTTGCTCTGTTTAGGCACTTGGGCTTCCCTTGTCTCCTGGACAGATTTTCAGTTGCTAATAGCATCTGCTCATTTGTGTCCCCTGAACGTGACTGTGTCATGGGAATGCAGGAGCCAAAGCACGGAGGATTTAACAGCATTTCCCACAAATACAGCACCATGGCCGCTCCTATGTTGTCAGCTAAACTCCTCATACATCCTGTGAGCCAAAGTGCAACATTCCTCCTTTCACAATCAAAGAGACCAAGGCTCAGAAAAGTCAAGTAACTTCTAAGTGAGAGCACCGGGATTCAAACCTGCGGTTATCTTCAGCAAAATAAATCAGGGAGTAAGGAAATGCAAGCCAGGGTTCATGAAATATGATTTTTATTTATTTATTTATTTATTTATTTGAAAGGCAGAGTTACAGAGAGGTGGGGGAAGGGGGGAGAGAGAGAGAGAGAGAGAGAGGTCTTCACCTGTGGAGCGTCACTGTCCCTCACCCCAGCCCTCACCGCAGGACCAGCAGAGGTAAGGCCTGCTGTGCAGCAAGCAGCAGCGGCAGCATCCTCGCTCTGGGTGCTGCCAGCTAACAGGAAGACGGAGTGTTCACGGTCAGGTGCTTGGGCTCTGACATGAGTTTGGTGTTGCAGCATTACTGATGCCATAAACAAGAGTGTCAATTTGTTAAGTCAACAACAGGAGTTACTGTGCACTTACCCCTCATGTAGGATCTTTGTCCTTAGTGTGCTGTACATTGAGATCTAATGCTATAACTAGTACTCAAACAGTATTTTTCACTTTATGTTTCTGTGTGGGAGCAAACTGTTGAAATCTTTACTTAATGTATGCTAAACTGATCTTCTGTATATAAAGAGAATCGAAAATGAATCTTGATGTGAATGGAAGGGGAGAGGGAGTCGAAAGGGGAGGGTTCCGGGTGGGAGGGACGTTATGGGGGGGAAGCCATTGTAATCCATTAGCTGTACTTTGGAAATTTATATTCATTAAATAAAAGTTTAAAAAAAAAAAGACCAAAAAAAAAAAAAAAACAAAAAACAAAAAACAAACCTGGGGTTATCTGCTGCAAAATAAATCAGGGAGTAAAGAAATGCAAGCCAGGGTTCATGAAATATGATTTTTATTTATTTATTTATTTGAAAGGCAGAGTTACAGAGAGGCGGGGGGAGGGGGGACAGAGAGAGAGAGAAAGAAAGAGCGAGCGAGAGAGAGAGGGGTCTTCCATCCACTGGTTCAGTCCCCAGATGGCCGCAATGGCCGAAGCTGTGCTAGTCTGAAGCCAGGAGCCAGGAGCTTCTTCCCAGCCTCCCACACAGGTGCAAGGGGCTCAAACACTTGGGCAATCTTCTACTGCTTTTCCCAGCTGGATCTGAAGTGGAGCAGCCACGACTCAAACTGGCATCCATATGGGATGCCAGCACTGCAGGCGGCGGCTTTACCCACTCACTACACCACAGCGCTGGCCCTGAAGTATGGTTTTTAGATCAGCATTAACACAAGGTTTTCACAATTCAAGACCTATAATATCAGGCAAGATTTCATGTCTTTTCATTTATTTAGTATAAGGAGGTCATACTTCATTGATTTTCTAAAATTCTGGGCCCACCATTCTGACATGAGTTAAGCCGCCACCTGCAATGCCAGCTTCCTGTATGGGCACCCGTTCCTGTTCTGACTGCTCCACTTCCACTCCAGGTCCCTGCAAATATGCCTGAGAAAGCATCAGAAGATGACCCAGGTGTTTGTGCTCTTGCCACCGATATAGGAGATATGGATGAAGTTCCAGGCTCCTGGTGTCTGCCTGCCCCAGCCCAGCTGTGGTGGTCATCTGGGGAGCAAACCAGTAGATGGATGATCTCTCTCTCTCTCTCTCTCTCTCTCTCTCTCCCCCTCTGTCTCTGAACCTCTGCCTTTCAAATAAATACATCTGTTTAAAAAAAATCTTACCTTGCTTTTTAATATAACACTCTTTTCATTGGAACTCTACAGTCCCTTGTTTAAGCTTTAATTAAACAATTTACTTGAAACACAAACATAATATTTTAAGCTTGGCACTGAATGTTACAAGTTGAAAACACCACATCAGATATGTTGTCACCAACCAGGCTGTTTGTTTTGGGGTGCTGTCAGCATTTGTAAACCACTTGCTGATAAAAAAGAGCACAACTTTATGTGACAACATTGAAATCTGTGCAACAGAGACTCCTGCCATTGTTGTGCATTGCCAGTCAATGCAGGCCTCTGTTCATTCATGTTGTGATGATCCTTGTGAACAAACATTCCCAGCCCAGCCTCAAGCACACAGGCACAAAATAATTGCCAGTTTCAAGAACAAAAGAGCAGTTTGAAACCATCTGTTTGATAGTGGACTTGTTATACCAGAGAGTTCCTACTGGACAGATTTTGCAGCAAAACAAAAGGGGCACAAAGAAATAAAAGCAGACATTTTCTGTGACCGCATCACCCTTCAAGTTTGTCACTAGGCTTCTGCAGGTAACAAAAGCTGATTTTCTGTTCCCTTTTATTTGTTATGCATATTTTGTTACAAAAGGAAGAGCTTGTGCTGTTTCTAGGGTTATGTCTTTTGAATTCTCCCAAGTTTACCTTATGTGAATTTAATAATGAATGTGGCAAGAAAACAAGCCAGGTTTGAAGGCATGAAACCAGAATTCTAATAATTCTTTGTGAAATTTCAAATGTAGGGCCTCACTGTGGCCAGCAGACGTCACAAACACCTCCATCATACACATGGCACTGGCATCTCCCAGCTGCATTCCCCGATGGTCAATATGGAGAAGGCCGTGTAGACCCTGCCCGATTTTTTTAAGACTGGGGATTTTGGAATCAGAGGTTCTGCCTTCTCATTTCAGGGAATGGTCCTGTGGAGCAGAACTCATTAATGGTGAGTTTTTTTCCATGGAAGTATTTATAGTTACTTTGTATTTTGCTCTTTGGATGTCTGTGTTATTCCTCTTGCTCACTTGATTCCTTGGCGTCCAGAAGATGCAATTGAGGGGAAGAGGTGAGGTGGGAAGAGACTGGTTAACCAGCACAAAGTACAAATGGGAAGAACAAGCTTTGGTTTACTATCACACGTGGAAAAGTTGGCGACATCAAAATGAAATCAGTCTTGTCAGACCCAGCCAAAACTGGAGCTGGGAAGTTGTGAAAAGGAAGACTCATGCCTACCTGTCTGACACAGGTGCTTTCTCAAGAATTTACCAAAAGCCCACAAGAAACTCCCTCTCATTCTAATGCACCCATGGTTTCTATCTGTACACAGATTCCTTTAGCATTCCTCAACACTGAAACAGGTCAGACCAGAAGCTGTCGACAGAACACTCGCCCCTGAAATGGCACCTCCACCACTCAGCTGAATTCCACCCCTACCGCATATCTCTGATGTCAATGAACTTTGGATGCAAGTAGCTCAGGTAAATTTCCCCATTTTGGTCTTTATAAACTTCTCCTTGGCTCAACTCCCCTGAATACATCTCTATTTTACTATGCACATATATTCCATTGCAATGTTCTGCTATCCCTATTCCCAAATAAGCATCATAATTCTTTCCATAATCTCTCTCTGATTGTTCCTTGACTAGAACAGAGAAGTATGACTGGAGTTAACAATATTGTATCATATAATTCAAAATAGCTGCAAGGGAGACTTGTATGTTCTTATCACAAAGAAATGATAAATGTTTGAGATGATGGATGACCTATGTCTCATGGGTTGATTGTTACACAATGTATAAATGTACTGAAATATCACACTTGACTCCATAAAGATGTACAATCACAATCTGTCAATTAAAACAAAAGAATTACATCTTGTAAGGGTGAGCATTAAGTAGTTAAGACATCTTTGTCCCACATTAGAGAGTCTGAGTTCAATTCCCAGCTCCCGCCCCTGATTCCAGCTTCCTCCCTATGTAAACCCTGGGGAACAGTGGTGATGGTTCATGTAATTGGTTTCCTGCCACCCACTTAGATTACCTGGATTGCGTTCCTGGCTCATTGCTCTGGAGTTGGCCTAGCCTTGGCCTTTATGAACATTTGGGGAGTAAACCAGTAGATGAGAATGCTCTGTCTCTGTCTCTTTCGCCCTCTCCCCTCAAGAAAATTTAAGAAAAAATTTTAAAGATTATATCTTGCAATAAAGTTAATTTAAGAAACAAGAAAACTTTGGATTAACACTTGGATTTTTTTTAAAATTTTAGTTGGTTTCTAACAGATTCAGTATAGTTCATAGATACAATTCTAAGAATATAATGACATTCCCTTCCTCCTCTCCCTCTCTTATTCTTACCCTCCCTCTCTCTCCTTTTCTTTTTTTAGTTGAGATAACAGATTTTAAATTTAATTTAAAGCAAGAAGTCTTAATGCTTCACCAATAAGAAGCCTTACAAGTAAAAAGCAAAAAGGCCAGTTTAGTAGGAATATAGACAATGGCTATAATCAATAATTGAATAAAAATGGCAATTTCACCAATATACAGTAAATTAATTTGAAAGCAACCACAGGTCATTAAAACTATAGTAGTATAACATTCTTAACCATTGGTTTGACAAAGGTATAAAACAAAGCTTTACAAAACTATATTTGCAGTAATACTGATACACACAGACATATCTCTCTTTTTTTTTGGTTTTTTATTTTCTTCCCTTTTTTCTACATATAAGGGAGAACATGTGGTATTTGTCTTCTGTGTCCTGCTTATTTCATTTCAACATGCTGTCTTCCAGTTGTTTCCATTTTGAGGCAAATGGTAGAATTTCATTCTTTTTTATAGCTGAATATTGTTCCATTATGTATATATACTACATTTTCTTTATCCATTCACTGGATGATGGGCATCTTGGTTGATTCCAAATTTTTGCTATAAACATGGTGGTTCAGGTATCTCTTTGATATAATATGTTCATGTCTTTTTGTATATATCTAGTAATGGAATTGCTGGATCATATGGCAAGTCTATTTCTAGTTTTTTAAGATATCTCCCTAGGCTAGCATTGTGGTATAGCATGCTAAGCCACCACCTGCAATGCCAGCATCCCAAATGGCTAGTGGTTTGTGTCCCAGTTGCTCCAATTGCCATCTAGCTCCCTGTTAATGCACCTGGGAAATCAGCAGAAGATGGCCCAGTGCTTGAGCCCCCTGCACCACTTAGGAGACCTGAAGAATCTCCTGGCTTCAGCCTGGCCCAGCCCCGGTTGAGGCCATTTGGGGAGTGAATCAGTGGATGGAAGATTCCTCTCTGTCTCTCCCTCTCTCTCTCTGTAACTCTGCCTTTCAAACAAATAAATAATGCAAAAAGAATGGGGGAGAAGGAGAGAGAGAGAGAGAGAGAGAGAGAGAGAGAGAGAGAAGACTCTCCACATTGTTCTCCACAGGGGCTGCACTAAATTACATTCCCACCAGCAGTGTACAAGTGTTCCTCTTTCCCCACATCCTCACCAGTGTTTGTTACTTCCTGTGTTTTGGATTTTAGCCATTCTTACAAGAGTGAGGTGATATCTCATTGTGGTTTTGATTTGCATTTCCCTGATGGCTAGTAACACTTGGATTACATACAAGCATTTTTTAAATTGCCTTTCACAAAATAAACACTTAAAGAATCTCTGATCCTTGCCTCAATCTACCTAATTCATTATCTCAATAAGTAGTTTATTGTATGTGCTTTCAAATTTCTTCATGCATATACTAGAAAAATACAAACGTATGTTCAGAATTTCCTGTTTTTATAAAAAAGATAACATAGTGTAAATAGTGCCCTGCGCCTTACCTTAGAATCTTTTCAACATTCAAGGGACTTGAATATTCTTTTTTAAGGCTTCATAATCTTGCATGATTGGAGTCACCAGAATTTATTTAACCAGTGTTCAATTCATGGATTTTTAGGTTATCCCCAATATTTTGGTTTCATGAACATTTTAAAATAAATAATCTTCCATTTATCTTTTCGAGTATGTGAAATGTATGTGAAAGCTATATTGTTGCATGCCCAGGCCCTGAGTCAAAGTATTATAGTTGTAGCTTAGATATAATCATCAAGTTGCCCTCCGTAGCATCTATTAAAATGTACATACCATGATAGCAAACCTTCAGACTTATAGCTATCACATAAGTGGGAAAATGGTCTCAGTATGGTTTAATTTGCATTTCTCTTATGAGTGAGTGAAACTGATCATATTTTCTGTCTTACACATTTTTCATTTAAGAGGCAGAGAAAAAGAGACAGAGAGACCCACACAGAGAGATCTCTCACCCACTAGTTCACTCCCTACATGTCTGCAATGACTGGGGCTGGGCAGGGCCAAAGCCAGGAACCAGGATTGCAATCCAGATCTCCTGTATGGGTGGTAGGAATACAATTACTTGAGACATCATTGCTGCCTCCCAAGGTCTGCATTGGCAGGAAGCTAAAGTTAGGAGTCAGGAATCAAAACCAGGTTCTCTGATATAGGATCCAGCATCTTAACTTCAAGACTAAACACCTGCTCAAAGAGCATATTTTCCTTCTTTATTTTTTAAAGATTTATTTATTTATTTGAAATGCATAGTTACAGAGGCAGTGGCAGAGAGAGAGGTCTTCCATCTTCTGGTTTACTCCCCAGATGGCCAGGTTTACTCCCCAGCTGGAGCTGCAGCAATCCAAAGCCAGGAGCCAGGAGCTTCTTCCAGGTCTCCCATGTGGATGCAAGGGCCCAAGGACTTGGGCCCTCTTTTACTGCTATCCCAGGCCACAGCAGAGAGCTGGATCGGAAGTGGAGAAGCCAGGACTAGAACCGGTGCCTATATGGGAGGCTGGCATTGCAGGCAGGGACTTCACCCGTTACACCACAGTGTCAGCCCAGATCACATATTCTTATGCTAAAACTTGATTGCTTTTCCAGTAAATGCAATGTTTAAATCTTTTGTTTATTTTTCTAGGACATTTTTGTCTTTTTCTTATCTTATTCTGGGAATTCTTCATATAACAGAGAAGTTACCTCCATCCCTAGTGTAAGTTACATGTGTTTTTATTACATTCACTTCAATGTTTAGCTTTTGATTCTGCTTATAATATTTTGTCACATATAAATACTTATTTCTATGTGGTTAATTTTCTGAATCTTTTCTATCATAGGTCTGGATTATACATGATAGCTAGAAATAATTTCCCTCTTACAAGATAAAAAATTCACTTTCCCATATGCAAGCATATTTAGTTACACATTATCAGTCAGACTAGCTACAAGATAACGTAAAAGATAAATTTCAGGATACATCCATATGGAAAACAGTTTTCACAATAAAAACATTAGAAGAGTAAGTAGTTTTATTATGTAAAATGTTGTCTCCAAATTGCTATCCTTTCCAAATTCAACTTTATTCATAATTCAAGGTTTTATGGATTATACACAATAGTGCAAATAAATACAAAAAAGAGAAAATTGCGCAGATAATAATTATAATAACTTATGGAATAACAATGATGACACCAAAATGAATGTCCTGAGATTCAAATGCAAATGTAACAAATAAAATTCAAGATGGGAGGGGTGCAAGTGGGAGGGAAGTTATGGGGAGGGGGGGAAGCTGTTGTAATCCATAAACTGTACTTTGGAAATTTATATTTACTAAATAAAAGTTTAAAAAAAATTCAAGAAAGAAAAACAATAATAATTGTTTAGCAGTTTGTGTAGAGTTTGCTAGCTTCTTTTTCACTTAACAGAAGATTAATATTTCTCAAAATTACTACTCTTTTGCATGAGGTAGAAGAGTTTACTACAATAGAATGTGGTCCTCTCTAAAAGCTACTTATTGGAGTTGGAATTCACCAATATTGGTTTTCTTTGTGAATCTTACACACCCAGGAAAAGGACCACGGTGGTTTTCAGCCACCAAACAGAGAGGCCAGCAGGCAGCTCACAAGGTGTTGAGAAATGCATGGGGTCTCCTGCGCTGGTGGTTCACTACCAGAGATACTGGACCAGGCAGTGATTCCATTCCCCCTGGAATTCGTGCCACACCAGGTATTGCAATTATTGCCTCTGCTCACAAGGGGAAGAAATTGATTTGGCAGCCATGGGTCTAGAAAGGGACCTTGAGCTTTGCAGGATCAAAAACAATTTCTCCAACTCAATGATAATGAGCTTTAGGAGATGGGTGTTGTGCTACATAAATCTTGATCTATATTTTCCATCAGAAATTGAAGGTATCGATTTGCTATAAGAATTGCCCTTGCCAAGCAACCTGGAGCTTGGTTCATTGGTCAGGAACTTCCCTTGAATAATCCTGATAAAGAAAACCAGCATGGTCTTCCAAGGTTAGCACATTTTTTCCAGGATATTAAGAAACTTTTACATCAGCACAACCCTGTGGATAACCTGATATCAAATGCTCTATTAATTTTGAGTCTTTAGTTAATTGTTTGCATTTCTAAGTGCATATATTTGTATATATGTGTATAGTCCCTGGTACAATTCTAAAGTTTCCTAATCAAGATGGTTTATTCCCAAATCTTTTGGTAACATAGTGAGAAATCATCTCTCATGGTGGTAGATCTCTGAAAATAGATTTTTAAAAAATTTATTTATTTATTTTAAAGTCAGAGTTATTGAGAGAGAGAGGGAGAGATAGAGAGGGATCTTCCATCTACTCGTTTGCTCTCCAGATTGCCACTGTGGCCAGGACTGAGCCATACCAAACCCAGGAACCAGGAGCTTCATCCAGGTATCCCCCAGGGATGGCAGGGGCCTAAACACGTGGGCCATCTTGCACTGCTTTCCCCAGGCCACAAGGAGCTGGATCAGAAGTGGAATAGCTGGGACATGCACTGGAGCCCATATGGAATGCCAGTATCACAGGCAGTGGCTCTACCCACTGTACCACCAAGCCAGCCCCGATAGCTAATCTTTAAACAAATCAACTTGAAACTGATTTCAATCTTCTCTTACCAATGTGCCCCATAGGAATGACTGTATGGATCCATTCTCAGATCTACTGGACCAAGCACTGGTGCAGAGTAATCACGCACAGCGGACCTATCCCCTCATGGGGCGCATGCTCCAAGAGCCCCTAAGAGCCCTGAAATGCAGACAGCATCTAACCCTGGCTATGTTATGTCTTTGCTATGAGTGCATATCCATGATATCATTTGTTTTATGAATTAGGCACAGTAAGAGATTAACAATAACTAATAATAAAATAGCAGTTTAAAAATATACTGTTATAGAAGCCATATGAATGAATGAGCCTCTTTCTATGTCTCTTTGTCTCTGACACTCTCTCAAAATTGTTTTGTATTGTATTAGCTGTAGTTCGCCTTGCCTAACTGAAACTGCAGAAAGAAAAACCTCCACTAAAGGGGCCACTGTAATTATATATTTTTAAATACAATGTAAAATATCCTCAAGGCCACCATTGTGATATAGCAGGTAAAGCTGCTGCCTGCAATGTCAACATCCCATATAGGTACAGGTTAGTGTCCTAGCTTGCTCCACTTCCCAACCAGCTTCCTGCTAAAGGCCTGGGAAAAGCAGCAGAAGACAGCCCAAGTGTTTGGGTCCCTGCTACCCATGTGCAAGAACCAAATAAAGCCCCAGGCTCCCGGCTTCAGCCTGGCCCAGCATTGGCCTTTGCAGCTATCCGAAGAGTAAACCAGAGGATGGAAGATGGCTCTCTGTCTCTCCCTCTCATTCTGTAATTCTGACTTCCAAATACATAAATAAATAATTAAAAAATAAACCCATATGACGCTAATAAGAACCCTTTATGAAAACATCCTAATTCTACATCATCAGTCCTCATTTGTCATAATATATGTTTAATAAGTACGTACTTATTATCATCACCCTGCTGAATTCATCTCCCTGTTGAATTCTACCAGACATTTAAAGAACTAACTCTAATTCTTCTCAAACTATTCAGAACAATCGAAAGAGAGGGAATCCTCCCAAATTCTTTCTATGAAGTCAGCATCACCTTAATCCCTAAGCCAGAAAAAGATGTAGCATTGAAAGAAAATTACAGACCAATATCCCTGATGAACATAGACACAAAAATACTCAATAAAATTCTTGCCAATAGAATGCAACAACACAACAGAAACATCATCCACCCAGACCCAGGGATTTATCTCTGGTATGCAGGAATGGTTCAATGTTCACAAATCAATCAACGTGATACACCACATCAACAAACTTCAGAAGAAAAACCATATGATTATCTCAATAGATGCAGAGAAAGCATTCGATAATTCAACACCCTGTCATGATGAAAACTCTAAACAAATTGGGTCTAGAAGGAACATTCCTCAATACAATGAAAGCAATTTATGAAAATGCTTTGATTTATGAATGGGGAAATTTATGAATTTATGAATGGGAAAAACTTGGAAGCATTTCCACTGAGATCTGGTACCAGACAGGGATGCCCACTCTCACCACTGCTATTTAACATAGTGCTGGAAGTTTTAGCCAGAGCCATTAGGCAAGAAAAAGAAATTAAAGGGATACAAATTGGGAAGCAAGAAGTCAAACTATCCCTCTTTGCAGATGATATGATTCTTTATTTAGGGGATCCAAAGAACTCTACTAAGAGACTATTGGAACTCATAGAAGAGTTTGGCAAAGTAGCAGGATATAAAATCAATGCACAAAAATCAACAGCCTTTGTATACACAGGCAATGCCACAGCTGAGAAAGAACTGCTAAGATCAATCCCATTCACAATAGCCACAAAAATAATCAAATATCTTTGAATAAACTTAACCAAGGATGTTAAAGATCTCTATGATGAGAATTACAAAACCTTAAAGAAAGAAATAGAAGAGGCTACCAAGAAATGGAAAAATCTTCCATGCTCATGGATTGGAAGAATCAACATCATCAAAATATCCATTCTCCCAAAAGCGATTTATAGATTCGATGTGATACCAATCAAAATACCAAAGACATTCTTCGCAGATCTGGAAAAAATGAGATGAAATTCATATGGAGACACAGGAGACCTCGAATAGCTAAAGCAATCTTGTACAACAGAAACAAAGCCGGAAGCATCACAATACCAGATTTCAGGACATACTACAGGGAAGTTGTAATCAAAACAGCATGGTACTGGTACAGAAACAGATGGATAGACCAATGGAACAGAATAGAAACACCAGAACTCAACCCAAACATCTACAGCCAACTTATATTTGATCAAGGATCTAAAAACAATTCCTGGAGCAAGGATAGTCTATTCAATAAATGGTGCTGGGAAAACTGGATTTCCATGTGCAGAAGCATGAAGCAAGACCCCTACCTTACACCTTATACAAAAATCCACTCAACATGGATTAAAGACCTAAATCTATGACCTGACACCATCAAATTATTAGAGAACATTGAAGAAACCCTGCAAGATATAGGCACTGGCAAAGACTTCTTGGAAAAGAACCCGGAGGCACAGACAGTCAAAGCCAAAATTAACATTTGGGATTGCATCAAATTGAGAAGTTTCTGTACTTCAAAAGAAACAGTCAGGAAAGTGAAGAGGCAACCGACAGAATGGGAAAAAATATTTGCAAACTATGCAACAGATAAAGGATTAATAACCAGAATCTACAAAGAGATTAAGAATTGATCTTCTGTGTATACAAAGGCTGTTGATTTTTGTGCATTGATTTTATACCCTGCTACTTTGCCAAACTCTTCTATGAGTTCCAATAGTCTCTTAGTAGAGTTCTTTGGGTCCCCTAAATAAAGAATCATATCATCTGCAAAGAGGGATAGTTTGAGTTCTTCCTTCTCAATTTGTATCCCTTTAATTTCTTTTTCTTGCCTAATAGCTCTGGCTAGAACCTCCAGAACTATATTGAATAGCAGTGGTGAGAGTGGGCATCCCTGTCTGGTACCAGATCTCAGTGGAAATGCTTCCAACTTTTCCCCATTCAATAGGATGTTGGCTGTGGGTTTTTCATAGATTGCTTTGATTGTATTGAGGAATGTTCCTTCCAAAAC